AATTTTGAAATTGGCGCTGGTTGCCCTAGTGACATCTGGGCGGACATAACAAAAGATCGATTAGAACTTGAGTGCTCGAGTAGCGTCGGTCTGACTGTTACACGTGGTGCAACAGACTAGGTTGGGTTAGCGTCGGTTGGGCGCTTCCCCGCGAGAAACCAGCGAGTCGAGAGGGGGAAAAACTTGCAGCGGTGGCGCGGTGAACTAGATAGAAACTAGCATTCAGCCCGCGCGAAGATTTGAACGAGTTACGATGTAACAGCTAGGATGAAATAGTCAATAGAAATAACAGGCGGTGAATTAGGGCAGATTTGAACAAATTATGTTGATAGAATATCTCGCTTTCTGCAGACTGAAAATCTGAAATGAACCGAAAAAATGAACAGTTACCGTGAAATATTTAAAAGCTAGGAGGAAATATCCGAAATGAAACTGTCGGGTAGCCTTCAATACTGCGCTCTGATTGGTCGAAATCCGAGTGGGAAAAGTACTGCGCTCTGATTGGCCAGAATCCGATGGCCAGAAATCCAACTGCCGCTCCGTCGCTAAACGTGAAATACTGCATTTTTATTGGTTGACATTCAGATGGAATGAATATTCCGTGGAATTTGAAACTTCATGATTTCTCCTCCATGAATCAAATTCAATGTGATTTTCCCGAAAATGACTATCGATTTGTCCATCAAATTTTCATGTTTTTTCTTTTCTAATAATGTGGTTTATCATTGAAATATTCTAGATCTGGCCCCACAAAGACTTCCCATTGATTCCAGTGGGGAAATTGGTCCTCGACCGAAATCCACTGAATTATTTCCAAGATGTCGAGCAGATGGCCTTTGACCCCGCACACATGGTGCCAGGTATTGAACCAAGTCCTGACAAGATGCTCCAGGGTCGTTTGTTTGCATATGGAGACACGCACAGACATCGTCTGGGACCCAATAATTTGCAATTGGCCGTCAACTGTCCTTATAAGGTAATAAGTATCCCGGAATGAAGTAATGAAAATATTCAAGTCATGCACATGAAATATTTATTGAAATGCACAATCCTACGAAAAAATGTGAGATCTTTTTTCCGGTCGAGAAAATTATGCAACAAAAAGTTTTCTCAGGGGTCTTTTTCAGTATTATACATTTCTGTGACGATCAAGGTTGGGCGTGTAAATGACGTTGGTAAATTGCACTTGGTAATTGCACAAACTTTTCGAAACATCTTTTTAGGCATAAAATTAAATTTTGGTGAAATTCTGAAAGAGGCAAAATTTGTTACAATTCAGAAACAATTATTTTTAGAGTGAAATAGATTATTATAGAATTATTTAAATAAACAGGCAGTGCGACAGAAGCCATTTGACAGACTACATATGACTGCTACTCTCCACGTATATTTCCCCTATTTTCATTTCTACCAAATTTAATTGGCAGTAGGCTTCCGAATGGATCCCAATGTGTTTTCAAAAAATGAAGGCATACGGATTCCCATGTTTTGAAAAAAATTCTATAGAATTTCCTATAGGATTCCCTATAGAATTTCCTATCAGATTTATGACCCTGATCCTGACCCTTGTGACCGATTGGTTTCAACTCTCAATTTTGTGGTACTTTCTATAGGAAATCCTATAGGAAATCCCACCAGCAAAATCCTATGGGAAATGTTCGAATTCTCCATAGGATTTCCTATAGGAAATTCTATAGGATTTTTTCATACGTGTCACTTCAGTTTGAGAGGAAAAAGTCGTGATATTTCAAATTTCCCTGGAAATTTAATTAAATTCAAAACTTTTAACCAGCATATGAAGCGGAAACTTTTCAAGTTACTTGAATTCTTATTTAAACGATGAATATTCTATACCAAATCACGCTGTATTTTCGATTGATAAAGAAATTATAATTGCCCAAATCATTTAGGCCACAGGAAAATAAAATGATTCAACTTCCTCAATGGTGCGTTTACTGGGGTTTCCTTCAAAGTTAATTAGAATCAATAGTTAGAATTATGAGAGATTCTGACATTTTTGAACTTGAGTATAGAAGAATTTGAATGCAACATAGTGTAAATGATAATCGATTGTTTCACTTTGAACAAATAATAACAGGATTTTTTTTTTACGGCCTCGGAGTCCCTTTTTGGGTCCCATTCGGCACTCTATCCAACCCTATGCATGCGGCTGTGGATTCTACACTGTACCGCATTCGCACTCCTATAGAACATAGAAGTAGCATGGGGAAACCACAGAAAACCGATGCCGGTACAGGCGGTTCCTCTATTAGCAACCTCCCGCTCGCCGAAGCCTTCCGTTGAAAAATGCGGTTCCACGGGGAATCGAACTCACAACCTTTCGCACACTAGACGCGTCTAATCCACTCGGCCACCGACGTCGGTATAATAACAGGATTTAAATTCAAAATTTCTGCTATGATTGAACAAAAAAAACTTTGACTCAATATTCCATAACTGCAAATAATAAAAATGATGACAATTATATAATATTATATGAATAATTAAGGATAATCGGGCGAGCCCGGAGGGTTAGAAAAAAAGCAGCCATTTTTCTCTTTTATTTTTTACGTATTCTTTAAATGATGGAAAAGGCATGTGCAAAGTTTCAGACTGCTGGGGAACCTGGTTAATTTATTATGAATTTTTTAAAAAGTGGTCATTTAACCCGTGATCTTATGGAAATCACAAAAAAAACTGCAAAACCCAAGGAAAAAAAGCAGCCAAAGGCATGAACCTTTAGACACATTTAGAACATGTGATCAATGATTTTTTGAGTGAAAAAATTTGTCGCCTAGGAGCATTGTTTATTAATAATAGCGAAAAAAGTACTGAAAAATGAAATTTCTGCGCACGCAGCCCAAACGAGCAGCAACGTCTCAAGTACCGATCGGGTGGGGGTAGCGCGGTCAATTTAAACGTCTCTTGAGAGAGAGCGATGAAGCGTTGTGATTGGAGCTCCCTCGAGCTAGTGGGACCAGCTCTTGGTGAAAAAAAAAACACTACCGACGATGTTGTTATATCCTATCAATGTTACTAGAAGGACAGTGGGGCCTTTTTGAAATAACGAGCGCCAAACTTCGAAATGTGGATCCGTTAGCCGCTAAACCTCTGAGGAGGACTCCATCGATGTTGACTCGTTCATTTTTTGAATAAATGGGTTGAAGGTTTATTCCAGAATAAATCAAAACCACTAGTGCTTAGGAGAGCACATTAACACTATTTATTTCAAACTTCTAATTTAAACTTGAAAACTTTGGTAGACAAATACACTTGATAAAACTTTTATGGAAAACTTTAAGAAAAACTAATCGAAGAGAGAAGCTGGAAAAGTTGTCGGAACAACAGCCACGATGGGACTGTCTCTAACTTAAACTAAAAATCTAAGGGTTGGATCCATACACCCCCACTAAACCAAAAGTTGCGCGCGCAATCTTGGCCCGGAGTAAAGGGAAGAGGGGTAACTTAAAAGAGAAATCGGGAAGCGAAAGAGGGAGAAAGGGGAGCGTGTGACGTCAACAGTATTCCCTCTTGAGGGGTCTCAGGCCCTTCAGCTCCGCGATACAATGAACAAAGGAGAACTCAACACTCAACACGTGTGGAACACGTGAATCAGAGAGACTTTCTAAATATCTCAGAACCGAGACTTAACAATTTTACGACCGTAACCGTCGAGTTTATTTTCTCTCTATATTTCAGAATTTCAAGAAAAGTATTGTTTTGAGGAATTTTGGAGAGCTGTAAATTTACGAAGTAAACTCAAGTACTTGACATTTATTATTTACGGCAACGGTTTTTCTCACGCCTGCCAAGTTGTTTTTCGTCCCCTGTTCATTGTCCTTTCATTCTCGACTTTTCTCAGTATTTAAAGATTTTACGTTATTTAATTAATTTTTTATATTAATTTGAATATCGCGGACAAAGATGGCTGATCATTGCTACCAACCATCAAAATCAGCGTCAAGACATCACAATGTTGCCACTTTTTCGCATGGATTAATATTTTTTCATTTATTAAAAAAAAAAACAATCCGATAAAAACACTCAATGCGTGGAACAGATACAAATAAATTTGATTAGCTCCAAAAATAATTTTTAACCGGAGAGACTTCCTAATATTGCCTGAATTTTGAATTCGAATGGGAAAAATTTTTTTGTTCAGCGATTGGTTTTCTGCAGGAAAACAATAGAAACCCCTCCGCCTCACCTCCTACACTTCCTCCTCGCCCGATTATCCTTACCATGCATTTCAGGATTTCAATTTTCGGCCGCTTGCGGCCGGCGTAGCGTTAATGTGATTAAAATATAAAGCCACATTCGTTAGAAAATACTTTCATCGCCTGGTGACATTGTTATGTCCCAAATGGTTTACACTCAATTGTCTGTTGGATTAATTTGAGGAATTGTTAAATTCATCCTTTGGTCGGTAACTCCAGGTGTTGAGGGAAACTCTCTCCTTGGGTAGGTTCCACTAATCAACTACTACGCGCAGTTGACCAATCAAGGCACGATTTAGGGTGTTTCGTTTGATAAGATTTATTTAATAACAATAACACTTGGTTTTATTACACTGTTCACTATTCTAGGGGTTCTTAAGTGACTCTTGTGGGTTGACTTTTATTGAGGTTTAAATGTTGTTTTAGTTTGGTTTTATTTTATGATTCGACTTCTATCTGTTTAAATTAGTATTTGTGATTTAGTCCCGAACAACTTTAAATTTAGACTTTGGGTATTTGGAGTTGAAGTATTCACTGAGACTTTACTTGGACTTGAAGTTTCACTTTAAGATTTTTAGAGAAGTTATTTCTTTCTCTTTGACCGTGGATATCGAAGTGATTTTTACTAAGATGAGATTTGAATATTTTAGGGCTGCTTAGGGCTCACGCGTGGGCGTACACGCTCTAGTTTCTGAGGGTAGGATTGGTTCATTAGGGATGGTGGTGAGAAGAGAGGCGAACCGGTTGGTTTTAGGTCAATCGGGGAGCCTCGAAAGTCGTGATTGGCTTAGGAGCAATTAAGGGTGCAGCTGCATTTGAATCTTCAGAAAAATTCTGTTCTCACGGAACGTTAGAATTTGGAAAACGTCATTTGACACTTATGACTTTTGAGTTTCTTGGTTTCGCCGTGTTCGGTTTACAATTTCAGGATGCTAGTGCTTGTCTTAAAGACTTAGTTCTTTTTCATGTTTTTGGATAATTTATTATCGACTCCACAGTCGATAAGGTAAATGAAAAATTAAACTAGCGCCATCAGGTGGCTAATGGTAGGGACGTAACAACATAATGTACTATTGCATCACGTGGTACGAATCGCGGCATTTTAAGAAACTCAAAAACATGAGGGTCAATTTGAATTTCACGAGGGTCAAACGTTGCAAAAGACCAAAGTCACAAGTCATCTCCATTGTGAGAAAGTCAATCTCATTATTTATTGAGCTTTATTGGATTCTCCACTTTATCATTTGAAGCCCCGGAAAAGTCCAGTCGGACCTGAACGAACTGATTTTGTTCTGAAGAGTTCAAAAAAGCGACCAAAGACAATTGAATTAGTTTTGTCATTTACGAAGATGATGACACGACGAATTGCATAGAGATCAATAAATAATGAGATTGACCCTTGTAAAATTCATCGCTTACACGGTATGACCCTTACGAGGTGTGACCCTCGGAACCTATGATCCTGGCGAGGTATGGACCTCGTGATTTATCACTCTCGCGAGGTATAATCTTCACGAAGCTTCACGTTTTACGATAAAAGCTAACGTCTGCTGGTTTTTTACATTTTTTACATTTATTACGTAAATTACGGGTTTTTATGTTATGTAAAAAACTGTGGTTATCAATAGATGCCCCATTCTGATGACTATTCAATAAGTAATGGGATGCTTTATATTGACATGAATTGATCTAATTATTCACTGAGCTTGTTTTTATTGATGCATTAATTGATCATTTTTTCTCTGTTCAAAGCAACTTTCCATTATGAATTATCAACGAGACGGTTTGATGCCAATTCATAATCAAAATGGAGCCCCTAATTACTATCCAAACAGCTTTAGTGGTCCAGTGGAGTGTCCTGTTGTACGCTCACCACCGATAAAACTCGCAGCTGATAGTGCTGCTGATCGTTACCAGCCAGTTAATGAGGATGACTTTGGACAAGTTACGACATTCTGGCAGAAAGTATTGGACGAGGGTGCAAAATCCCGACTTGTCGACAACATGGTTAACAGTTTGATGGGTGCATCAAACTTTATCGTTGAACGTGCCGTACGGAACTTCTCGCAAGTCGACGTTGATCTTGGTAAAAGATTAACGGAGGGTCTTAAGAAGAAGGGAAGAATCATTAATGTATCAGGAAAATCAGCAAACTTGTAAGATTATGATGTTTTTATATTTTTGTTGTTTCGGGTATTGATGATATTCAACTACTTTCGCACATTATATATATATATATATATATATATATATATATATATATATAT